GGTCTCAACAAATGGAATGATGCCTATTTTTATCGTATTGCCTTCTAACTTTTATACTATAAACTTATTTTATAAGCTTAGTTTAGGATCATGTGTTTCAATTAAGGAAAAAGTTTATATAAGGTCGCAACTTTAAAATGTAGAATTAAAGATGCACCTCAAAAATCCATCGGAAAAATTGTTTTAATGTTGAAAAGCCCTCTAATTCATCATCTCGACAATCAGATGTATGAATATGAAAAAATAAAAAATAAAAAAAATTAAGGCCAATAAATAGTGCATCTTTATCTAGACCGTCCATTTTCAAGATTTTCATATGTTTATAGATCTACTTGATTTTAACCATTTTTGGAGTTTAAAATTTTATAATTAGAAATAGAAATAGTTTTTTAGATAATCCTAAGAATTTTTTATACCAAAATTACATGTTATAATAAAATTTAGAGATGCACCTTAATTGGATTGTTTAAGGTTGCAACCTTATAGAAACCACACCCTTTGACTAATGGACGTAGCATGCGGCCAAGCCCGCACATGTAGAAATGTGAGCCCCTTAATAAATTTATGTTTGAAATAGAATTCAACCCAAATTTTAGAAAATATCAAGGAATTGTATACAATGAGACAATTTACCTTTGATACAAGGAGATCACAATTACTTACAATCATTCGATATGAACTTTGATTGCTTGGATATGTCACAAAGTTCTAAAACAAAAAATTTGAAGTTTGAGCTTAGTCAATGGAGTAAATGTAGTCATCTAATTTCACTTCCAATAATCAAGATTTATCGTGACCACATTTTACCAAAGATAAATAGTCTCATTGTATACTTTTCCAAATATATAATCTTTAAAATAAAGATCATAAATATAAAAAAATAAAATAAAATTTGAAAACTAAAAATAATAATTCTATTGAAAAAAAAATCGGACCGTTAGTTTCAATTGTTTTTAGATGGACCACCTTACTTTATAGTACAAATACGGTCTTGCCAGCATGAAGCAATTGTTCTTAATTAATTTACCAAAGCTCCACTATTTTTGGGTATGAATATGACTATGAAATTTGGTATGTGTCATCTTCTCATTGGAGTGCACCTATAAAAAATATTAAAAATAAATTTTCGATAAAATACAATAACCAAAATACCCCTTGAATATTTTTATATATTTTTCACTAGTGCGAGTTTAATAGAGTATTGCACGTACAAAATTTGATGTCAAAATAGTTTATAAAAACAAATGAAAAATAAAATAGTGTAGAGACATGACATTGTGATTTGGGCAATCTTAGCCCTCCATTCAGAATGGACGGTTGGATAAGGGGAAGTATATAAGTTTTATGCTATAGGGAAAGCACAAGATTTGCTTCCCTTTATCCAACCGTCCATTCTGAATGGAGGGTTAAGATTGCCTCAATCACAATGTCACGTCTCTACACTATTTTATTTTTTATTTTTTTTCTATAAATTATTTTG